TTCCTGGTTAAAAAAAAAATCCCTCAGGTGCTTTTCTGTTTTCTGCTGAAGCTGAATTTTTTTAGTCCTCTGACAGTGTCTTACACCCCCCAATATGTCTTGTTTCTATGGAGACACCAATGAACTGCAGCTTGCATTCTTCTGCATATCACAATACAAGGTTGCTTCAGAATTTTCCCAGTGTTTCACTGCCTTCTCTTTTAATTAGAAATTAATCAATAGGTTCAGTCGTCTTGTCTCATGCACTCATATACATTCACAGGCATATATGATCCCTGTGACTGTGAGCCAGCCTATAAACACATTATATGCTTTCAAAGTTTTAATTTAGAGAGCAGCACATTTTATATTGAGGCTTATAAGACCAGAATTCTGAGCTGTATTGGATGGCAGTGTGGGAAGATAGATATCTTGTATGCAGTAGATGAAATGGAAGGATTTTATACCTCATGCGTTTTAAGAATAGGAAGGATGTGTGGAGTTCTGGAATGAACATGAAATATGTTTGGTTCTTTGAATTCTATTAATATTACCAGATATTAATGAATTCTGTTATTATTATCTTATATTTTTGTTTGCCCCTCCCCCCCCCATAATTTGTATGTGAAATTTCACTCCTCATTCCTCCCATCCTGAATGACCAGTTATTTCAGGATGGTTCTGTAGATCTGATTCTCTGAGCCATATTGTTCCTGTGCTGTGAGCACAAGGACTCCTCTTCAGGGCAGCAGGAAGTAAACACTTCTGTGGCAGAAACGTGCTAGCAAACAGACAAAGAAAGAAGCTATGTTAATGATTTTGTTTATTAATTAAAAATGTACTGTGAAGTAAACAGTATTTTAATTATCAAGAACTAGTGAGACTGAAATGATGCCAGAAGTTGTATGCTACTGTTAGTGAGCTCTTTGAAGTCAATAATATACCTTTTCCTCCTTCAAGGTAGTCTGAATTACTTTACCCTGGTTAAATTGAAGAGGTAAAACAGAACCAGGCTGGTGCTGGTGCCCTGAGTTTATTTTTTTATATTATTATTATTATCTCCTATTATGCTGTAATAAATTTCCAGTAACAATTCAAAATAGCATTTGCCGAGGCCTCATAATAGATAAATGTTTATGTAAACCACCTGGTGATGGCAACAGATTACATCTGATGCTCAGTTTGTGTGCTAAGATGTATCCTGAGCAACTTTTTTCTTATTTTTTCTTTGTGCTACTCAGCAGACTGTATCCTCCTGCTGTTTCATATGTTCATTGTGATCTCCTCTAGATAAAGAGTTGGGTTTTCTCCATTTTTTAAAGACTTCTGAAGTTAATAGTAGTCACTAATTGTGCTTAAACAGCTAATAATCCAGTGAAAAATAAAGGGTTTTGATGATACACTTCTAATATTTCTTGCCAATATGTTTGTATTTATGTTAATATATGCATATGTACAGATATAGCTATGTTCACCTTTCACCATTCCTTTTTTTGTCAAACTGAAAAGGTAAAAACACAATTAAGCCTTTTATAGACATGATGTCAGAAAGAATGCTTTGTTTGAAGTCTATGAACATTTACTGCACTCTCAATTTATTTCAACTGTTGTTAACAGACAGAAAATAAGGTTTAACCTCTAGAAGGGCCAGAGCATTACTGCTTTCTCAAGGATAATAATTGTAGCTATGCCAGCTAGCACATAACAGTTAAATATATCCTTGCTTTTGACAGAAGCCAGTGGAGTTGGAACAGGGATGAGCATAGCTTATTAAATATAGCTCTTATGAAGACTGCTCTATAATTACTGTGACTTTTCTTTGTATCATTATGATCATAGGCTGATGAAAACAATGAGTCATGTGCTTTGAAAAGGCCAAGAACTATTCAGCCAAATAAAAAAGATTGTACCTAGAGTAACAGCCCTGTTAGTTTTCTTGAAGTAGTCTATGTAAATAATGCACTATAAAGGTTAAATAACTTTCACCAAAGCTCCTTCTTCCACTGATAAGAGTTAAAAACTTAGAGGAGAATGCTCTTAGGAGGATCAAAAATGCTTCATTCCATGAAATCAAATACATATCCATGAGCAAATCTTTTGAAAGTCTTTTTAATTGAGACTGGGTTTTTTTGTATAAAAAGATAGGCTGATATTTTTGAATGTCCTCAAGTCTCTTCTGAAAACTTCAAAATGAAATGACCTATATACTCAAAATACTATGATTACAAAAATGCCTGATTGTCCTTTTTTATCAGCTCTGTCACTTCTCAGATTCAAAATAGTTCTGGATTCAAATATTTTCAATCTTTTCTAAGCCATGAGAGATTTCTGTGGTTTTTGTCTCCAAAAGAAGAAAAAATGTCAAGGGCATGTTCTTTTGATCTAGATTATATCCATTTTCCCCAGGTCTGTGTTGATACTACTGGAGAGGCAGACCCCGATGCAGTTGCTGTATGTCAGGAGTAGTGGACTTGAGCTTTTCAACAAAGATCTCAGTCAGTGCCAGAATCCACTGTCTTCAAGAGTGCCCTTGCTTGAGAAGTTTACCCCTATGTGTACTTACTGAAAACTTAATTTTTTAGAGGCCAAAAGTTTGACACTGAAAAATTCAGCAGCTCATGTCTTATTAGTAATGAAGATTAATAATTGCATTTTCTTATTTTAGATTTCATGAGGCAATTGAGGTTCATCAAAACTGAGGAGTATTTATTCCAGACTTTACAAAGAAAATGTGAATGAGTAATTTCAAAGACAAAGTCAGGGGTAAGAATAGTTGGTATTCACTGTTATGCTCACAGAGCTGGAAGGCAGATAGGGCCACCATGTCTGAGATCAGGGCTGGCTGCCTTTTCAAGCAACCACTTGAAAACTCCCTCTGTGAACCAAGCCAGCTTTGTATTAAAGGTTTTATGTTCATTTCCTTGGCTACATGTACTGGGAGATTTGTCTGAAGGCTCACATTCCTCATGGTTGTTATTTACCTTCTCACTTATAGCCTAATTTATTCTCGGTTAGTGTGTTTGCAGGTCACCAGTAACTATGCAGGTAAAATAGATTTTTCCTTCTCTGTTTATGCTTTTTGATTTTTAACAGACACCTCTCATGCTTCCTTTAGTTATGCTGGAAATGTATTTGGAAATGTTTGTGTCTGTGTTGAATTCATATATATTCTCACTATGTGTGTCTATTTATGTAAATAATATTATCTTCTATTTAATATTATTTGTTTGTTATCACCTACCCTTCTGCACAGCCTTAAAGCAACCTAATTGTTTTGTCAATCACATGGAGTTAATTCAAGGATCTCAAATCTGTAAGGGTAAACTATAATATGAAATAGTGAGTATGAATAGGTAAATAGAAAAGAGAACTCTAGTAAGTACTTCAAAACCCATTCTGAAGCAAGCACAAACTTTCCAGTAAATTTGGTTTAGACAAAAGCAAATATATAAGCAGTCAGATTTTCTATGCCAAGGTTTCACAAATGGCTTCCTGGTAATGCCACAATTAAACATCAGTCAATTGAAAAAATAACTTAGTGAAACCAATTAAAAGGAATTATTTTGACAAATGGACTTTTAGACCTTGCTGCAGAAACCTTGGCTGATGACACATTCCAGTTGTCCGATGTGCTGCTATAATGATTAGTCTTTGTTTCAGCCTTATTTAACAGTTTCATTAATAGTATTAAAGAAAGCAAGTGAACAGCATGTTAATGAAGTCAGCAGATGATGTAAACAGCAGGAAACAGAAAATAAACGATACTTAAGAGGTTAGAAACATGAGCAGAAGGAATTATGTATCATATTCTGATTGAGAGAAATGAGAAGCTGATGCATCTGTGATAAACTAGTTCAGAACTGATTTTATATGCCTAATACATATTAACTAAATTCAAAAAAATATACACATTCAATTACACTAAAACATTTTATTTTCTGGTTGTAGAAGGTCCAGTTTGTAGTCAGTATAATGTCTAAAAGGGAAATACTGTCTTTGAAAGAATGTGCAGATAGATTGTGTAAAAGACTAGACATGCGATTACTGAGTTTCACACAAATAAATGGATTGGAAGAGCAATTTGCTGTTGTTCAGGCAGGGGTCATGTAGGAGGAAAGACAAATGCAATGAATGAACAGAAAAGGAATGGAGAGCAAGACTACTGTTATCCACATACCTGAAATGTGTAAGCATTTACAAAAGATATGATTTATTTAGCATTATCACAGATTTGATATGAGGAAAATATTCTTTATTAGATGAAAGCAATCTCTAGCCATACTAAATGAAGATTGAAAAGAATATATGTAGAGTCTGTAAAGCAAATTTAGTGCCAATTAATGGAAACCTAAAACAGGCTGTAGGCTTTCACTCACTTGCATACAGAAATGCCAAGTCTCTCCAACACCCCTGGCTGTGAATGCAAGTTACAGAGTTCCTGAAGATTATATCTAACCTATACTTTTTCCCCCCTTCCCCAACAATATCCAAATTATAGGAGAGGTGACTTCCCAAGCTTTCCATTCAGCAAGCCCAATCCCACACAAGCTCTAAAATATTTCCCCTTCCCCAGTGTGGTGACATGCACACTGCAGGCAGACTGACAACTACCTCCTCCAGTTGGAACATATAATCATCAATACCCTTCTGAGCTCATTTAAAATGTGACTAACTTAAGCCTCAGCTCATACATTGTCAAATCCCACTTGGTGAGTCTTGTTCCTGTTCCAGCTGGAGATGGGCCCACGCTGGAATTTGGGAATCTAGTTTTCACGTTCCAAAATTGAACAAAGAGACTCGGACTCATTTCTAGTTTCCTAAACTGCAGTCATATCTGTAAGTAAAATGCTGAAACATTAGTTGTCTGGGAAAAATAAATGAGTGATGATTTTAAGAGATAAGCTGTGGCTACTCAGTGCAGTAGCTTCCAGCTTTTTGGTGCTGTTCCCAGAAATGCTTCAACCATGGTGAGGAGCTCAATTCTCTAATTAAAAAAAAAAATTGTATCAAATATTTTTCAGCTTTACACTCTCAAATTAAAGCTTAAAAACCTCCAAGGAAGGAAAGGAGGCCAGATTGGAGGGGGAGGAGGTGAGAGGAAGGAAACGGGTGGAGAAAACCACTATATTCCCAAGATGCAAGGAAAGTTGAAAAGTAGAAGAAAAAATATATTAAATCAGTGTAAACTAAGAGGTAAGTTTAAGGCATTTTTTTACATTGAATGTATGTTTTGTTGGGAATTTTTAGCAGTAAAATTCTGTATACTTTGCAAACATTTGAAATACATTTAAGTGAGGTAATTGTTTTTTTTTCAATTTCTTCTGCTATGAACTTGATCTATATTTTTATTAAGCCTATCAAAGGATGTGTTGTGCTGGTATTTTGCTACTTTTCTGCTGTTGCTGGGTAAAACTGTCTATTACCTCACCAATGACCTACATGAAGTGAAACAACATCCCATGGCAGCAGACAGGTTGTTTTGTTGTAGAGCTGAGCTGCAAAAGTTAATTGTTTATGGAGGCTTAATGGGCATTGTGCTCCTACTTACCTAACCTGCTGCATTTCAGTAGTGTGTTAGTGTAGCTTAGGAAAAGAGCCCCTGAAGTAATAGATTTTGGTATAGTTAGGAAGATAGTTAGTTGACCTGTGTTCTCAACTTGAGGTCAGAGCAAAGTCTTACATTTTTATTAGTGTTGTTGCTGTTATTGCTATTTGGTGTACTGCCTATGCAGGGGTCGTATACATTAAGTTTTGATCAGAGACCACAAGCCAGCTGCTGAATAGTAAAGCTTGGTGCACTTAAAAGCTCATTTATTACTGGGATGTTGCTTGCTATACTGCTGAGAGCCTGCTAGAAATGCAACAGAATAAAAATATTGGTGATGAATATGACTGTGTTTGTATTGCTGCGCCAAAGACTTTGCACAGTTAAGTTTAGAAAGGAAGGAAGAAGAAATCTGGAAAAAGTAGAGTCAGGTGTAAGGAGATTCTGCATAGCTGTACCAGCTGGGTAGAGCAGGGAGGCTACAGATAGCCCTCAGCACCCGCTGCATACATAGACCAGATTACTTGCAGCATTTTTATTTGTGAAGGTTGGGAATAGTGTAGGGTAAGTGCAAGACAGCTGCCAAAATGGGAGAGACAAAAGCTCTCAGTAGCTGATAGTGAAAAACAATACAAGAGATGGGGTTTGTAGGGAATGCTGCCACCTTCCTGTCTGATCCACATCCAGCTTCTGTTGTGTCTGGTCCTCTCAGGCTGGAGGTCATACTGTGTTTGAAAGCTTCTGATGTCTCAGTTGTTCATGGTTTTATCCAGTCTTGTTTTTCAACATGTTTAAACTATTGATTTAAAAATGTTATGGAAATAGGTTCTATAAGTTAATTACATTGTCTTTGGTTTAAGCCTTATGTTGGAGTATTTTATGGATTGCCTCAAGTGTTTTGACTGTGAAAAGTGAATGCTTGTCATTGCCTCCTTAAGCTGTCTGCTTATTAACTGAAAAGATGCAGTCTGCTTAGATTCCTCACGTCCTTGTTCCTCTCTGTGCATTTTCTAGCTGTGTTATGTATCTTCAGTGATTCAGGTGAAAATGTTAGTGATTTGATGACTTCTGAAGACATGTATGTCTAATGACTATGCCTCTTGCTTGTGCTCACCACTTAGCCTTCCTTAACTTTTCTAAACATTTTTTTCAGAGTTGAACTGAATACTTAACTATTTCTACAGATAACAGTTACATAAATATATGCATGGCAGCTGTGCACTTCAAGATGAATATATTATGGATGAAGAGCTTGAATGCCACACTATTTGTACTATTTTTATTCAGACACATCCTGAGAATTTAGCATCAAATGGCCTAATTCTGCTCTGAATCTAAAGCCAGTGAATTAAACCAGAAACTCCTACCAGACTTCACAGGATCCCACTCTGCTCTGCCTATTAGAGAAAAGAGTTTGACATCATTTTCCTAATTGTTCTGAATTGTGCATGAAGCTAGATATTAAGAAGGGCAGTCTTTTGTAAGAAAGGAAACTTGGGAAAAAAGAAACCTCAGTTGTTTAGGGGATGTTATGGTGGCATTGAGGCAAACAAGAAGATGAAGATGGCTGAGCAACAAGAGCTGTGAGGGGTGGGCAGGGAGAGCTGGACACAGCCCAGCAGGCAGGTAGCCAGCAGCTGCAGCTGCAGACTCCCAAAAGTAGCAGGGGTGCTCCTACATTAGTCGGGTACTCTGGTATCAGAATTCCTTCAAACATCCAAAAGGCCTTGGACACCTATGAAGGTAAATGGGAATAAGGGATCCCAAGCCACCTGTGCCATTTTCAGCCTCGAGGTGTCTGAAGAGAAATAAAAGGCAAGACAGAAATTGTGCTTTAGAACAGACTGGACAGCTGATGACTCTTGCAGCCTTTATTTTGTTCTGTAGAGATTAATGGAAAGCATTTTCCTCAAACATTTGGAAACCATGACCTATATTTTAACCAAATTTGTAAATAAATAATTAATATGGCTATTTAATTATTACTCCATCACCAGACAAAATTATCCAGCCAATGAATTAATCATAATTATATTCTTCCCAGTACCTGTCGTGTATTCTTGTTTTCTCTCATCTGTGGGTGCTTTGAACAGTAAGGGAATCCTTTTAAGCTGATGCAGTTTAGTTTAGTATGAGACTAGAAGGAAAAGAAATGTTTAAATAGATTCTACATAGAAAAAATAGAGTTTGGGCATTTTCCCAAAGTCAGATGTCTTTGCTTATTGCTAATGTCACAGAAGAGAAGTAGAGGAACACTCCAAATTGCTAAAAACACCATATGAAAAAGTTAGCCATTTACTTGGAAACTAGCAGCTATCCATGGGAATTGATGTGTTGGCATTAGTACATCATCTCCAGGTGTGTTCCATCAGATTCACTTCACAACAGATGTTAGACAAGAGTAATGAAGAAATTCTGGCTGGCATTAATAAAACTGTGCATGGCAGCACTTCAGGAAGAAAAGCTGCCTTTGATACTGCTTATTTGAGGATTTATTCAAATGTCCAAACAGGTTGAATCTAGGCAAATAATAGCAAGATGAGGTAATAAACAACAAAAGCAGTCTTCTATCATGTGCTGCCCTGAGCTTTGCTATATTCTCAGATTGTCCTTTTGAGACAGGGAATACCTCCCTGACTTAAACAGGAAAAATCTTGGTAACACCTCAACAACTCAGTCAATGCAGTATTCACTCAGCTGCGGCTGGATCAAATGGAATGGGGACAAAATGGCGTCAGCATTTTAAGGACTCTTTGACTTGAGTTTTACCCACAGTTCTGCTGGTAACTGGCAATAATAAAGGCTTTATCGTAGCACAATGCCTGTTTTGGCCAAATGCTGTCCTTTTTCCTTCTCTCAAGTTGTGCCCCAGCAGAGTGTCCCTCGCATTAAGCATCTCTAGATGCTTTTGCTCTTTCTGCCAAGTGTGTATTCCTCCATTGTCCCTAGGTTTAAAAAAAGAGATGAATATGCCTGAGAGTGTGGAAAAGAACTGAAGGCAAACCCTCTTCCTCTTAGAAAGTGATCTAAGCTGGCAGAGGACAGCCCCAGTAGTTGCTCTCCATGTCTACCATGCAGAAGGCACAGTGGATGACACTTCAGCTAAAGCAGAAATGTTTAAATGCCAAATAGATTGGACAAAGAAAGGCATTGTTTTTTACTATGTTCCTACATCTGATGTGCTCCAAACAAAACACCACACAAAGAAAAAGCCAAATAGAAAGATCTTCTCTCCCACAATTTTTTCTATTCCTCTAGGGAATGCCTCCCTCTCCTGAGGTGGCCCTTCTTTCCCCAGCAGTCACTTTCATCAAGGACACTCTGCCTGTAGTCACAGCAACTGTTAGAAATGCACAAAGTTCCAATGTGAACTTCATCCTCTTACTTGCCATCACTGCTATGAACACAGACAGAAAGAGAAAAAGCATCAGAATCATTAAGGTTGGAAATGACCTTTAAGATCATTGACGCCAACTGTAGACCTAACACGGCCAGGTCTACTTCTAAACCATGTCCCTAAGTGCCACATGTACATGTAAATAAAATCAGGTCCCTGTAATGCATTCACTTTCATGTCCAGATATATTATTTAAATATGCTGTATAACAAATTATATTAGAAGTGTCCAATTCTCACTAGATTTTTCTTCCCATTCTTGCACATTCAGATGTGTTCTTGCCATAGTTCAAAAGGAATCTCACAGATGGTTTCCTGTCTGGCAGTTCTTGGGCCTTTCAGCTTCCACTGTTGGGGCTTCTATGGTTCCTGGTTATAGGACTTTATCCTTGAAATAATTTAAAGTAGAAAGGAAAGCAAGAAATACATAAGTACCTCTTCAAATGTTATTAATAGTCTTTATTATAACAGAATAGTTGTTTCTGAAGTCAAGCAAGAAGCTGGTTTAGCAAAAAATTTGAAGTTTTGCCAAATTTCTCAGCAAATGAAATGAGAAGTGTTTTAAAGAAGAACTTTGATGTATGCAAGAGTGTTCATGCATTTAGATAGCCAATGACTTCCATATTTGAGGGAAAGTATGGTTATGCTTTGTGTTTTGGACAGTCTAACTTACCAATCAGTATTAAATAATTAATTACAAATATATACCCTGACTTTTATGGCCATTCAAGTTTTAAGGAAAGGGAATTTTCCTCACGTCTGGTGCTCTCAGCTCTCTTGTGAGCTATACATGGTCAGGAAAGTGATTGGCTCTGTAAACTGAACTAATGGGCAAGGGAGGGATGGATCTGAAAGAAGCTCTGCTTCTTATTTCTCTTACAACACAACTGATCAAGTATGGTGAAGGAATCTGCTCTTGGTTTGAATCAGTGAGGCAGTATTGGTTGTCTGGAATTAGGAAGGAGTTGACTTTTGAGGTAGTTTCCTTCTCCTTCAGTGTCTGATCATTCTCAGGTAGGCTAGACAAAACTGCAAACTGCATCTGCAGAGGCAAACTGTGTAGTGCAGCAGCAGAAAAATACTCTGATGGAAAAACACCTTATTCACTATTAGTTTAGCATTCTATAAATTGAATAATAAATCAGTACTGAAACACCTTTCTGATGATGAAGTGGCCTCTGAACTCTATGTGCCAAACTGGGCTGTTTGAAAAACTGACCATTTACCTCACCCCAGGTGACATTCAGTAAAC